ATTATGCCTGCAAAGTGTGTCTCCAGCGTCTCTCCAAGATTTCACTATAGGAGGCTCACTTTCTGTTTCCTCCCTCTAGCCACCATCTTGGAATCTCCTCCAAGAATCTTCTTTAAGAAAGAAAGTTATATTGATACAAAATCAATAGATGGGTTGATACAAAGGCTTTTCAGTATACTTAAAGACACCCATACTTTTTTCCTTCTTTTTTTGCACTGCTGGGGTTTGAACTCCATGCCTCATGTTTGCTAGACAAGTGCTCTACCACTTGAGCCACTCTGCCTGCCTTTTTTTGTGTTGGGTATTTTCGAGATAGTGTCTCACGAACTATTTGCCTTGGCTGGCTTTGAATCTCGATCTTCCTGATCTCTCCTCCCAAGTACCTAAGATTATAGGTATGAGCCACTGGTGCCTAGCAGCTCCTTTTCCTTTTCAACATAGTCTTGTATTGCACAGGTTGGCCTTGATCTTGTGATCCTCTGGACTCACCCTTCCCAAGTGCTGGGATTATAGGCATTTATCACCTCACCTGGCTCTGAGAGAGCTTCCTGAGGGCCCTAAGTACACTGGTTTGGGGTAGAGTGGTTAGGTAAAGGTTTCAGTTCTACAGGTGCATTGAATAATAAGCAGAAATTAAATTTAAAGGCCATCTTACCCAGTTAATTATTAGGACGAAAGTCAGAGAAACAGGAATGACCTTGTATATCTGCAAGAATTTCAGGGTTAGCCCAGCCATTAGCTGCATAATTGATAAAAAAAAGATGATCAGAATATCTTTTTGAGAAAGAATATAACTGTTGGAAAGGACTGAGACTGAAACAAACCAAAAAGCATGGGGGGGAAAAATGACAAAGGAAAAGCAAGGCAAGAAAGAAAATTAGGATAGGATGATAATCCAGAAAGTGAGAAGGGAATCTCAAGAGGATTCTCAGTTGACATAGTTCACAGATGTAAAAGAAAGACAGCTGAATAAATGCTGGATTTTGAAGAAGAGTCAGTAGTATGTATTTTAAGGTTGTAGGAAGAGAGGGCTTGTCAGGGTACATGGTATCAACATCCATAATTTTAGAGGCTTGGTAATAAAAAACACCAAGAAAGATGGAAGCTAGAAGGAACTTTGGAGTTAAAGGATTTTTCTAGATAAAGAAAGCTGAGTTCATGTGTTTGAAGAGGGAATGAAGAGCCACCATATAATAAGATATTAAGAGATTTTTTTCCAAGTCAGTATGCATTTGAAAGGAATACTTTTTTTTCCCCTCTATCTCAATAAATCATACTGGTTACAAGAGAGAAAAGCTATAGATGCACGTTATCAAGTGAAAGCACAGCTGTACAGGTAGTTATAATGAAGAAGACAAATTCCTCTGTTGAATATTGGGTTATGTTAAAAGAGGTTTCTGCATTTTTGAACTTCTGATGGAGATGTAATAATTGTTGTTGCTGTTGTTCTTACGGTTTTTGTTTAGTTTAAGATGGTCTCACTCTAGCCCAGGCTGATGTAAGCTCAGACTCCCAAGTACTGGGATTACACTGTTGCACCACTACACCCAGCTGCAGTTCACTTTGTGCACAAACTTTATTTATTTAATTCATTTGAATAAAGTATATAAATTTTTTCTGAACCAAAAACTAGGGTTTTGTACATAGTGGAGTCCGTCAAGAATTAGCTACTATAGAAGGATATCATGAGTCACAAACAGATAATTGAAAGGACGAGTCTAGTTCTTGGAATAATTTCTTTCTAGTTAGAATAAATAAGTTTGTGGAATGGATCAGTCATTCTTGATAACACTCCTTGAAACATTCTCTTTTATTGTTTGGCTAATAAGATGTTGCTATTTTTCTAGAATATCTGTCTCATCCCTTCCAGACAAAGTAATTATTTATCCTTTGTGCTCTTACTATACTTTAATATGTCTGCAAGAACATTATAAGTGTTTAGCAGAAATAGGTCAATTGAAGAAGTGAACATTGTGTTTATTACACTGAACAGGGACATACTCTGTTCTGTCTTCAAATCTTTGCTTTTTTCAGTATTTTCACTCTTAATGATTTTTTCCCTAAATAATTTATTAGTACTGTAACCAATTTCTACTGACATGCTATTAATTCCCAAATTATCTTTCTTAGTTCAGAGTTGCTTTGCTATGCTCTACCAACTATTGTAACTCGTATGCCTTTAGACTAAATTGGTGTATAATGTAAACTCCAGTCTGTCCAAATCTGTTTGTCTCTTTCATCCTCTGACACAACACATGGTTTTATAGTTTTATTGCCCAACGAAAGTCCTTCAGGTACTCTTCAGAGCCCCCAGAATAAAGTTTGTATTTTAACATTACGTACATTTGACTCTTTATACTTCTTTAATCTCATTATGTGTCAGTCTTCCAAATAATCCAAAATTTTCAATTATTAAGCTTATTCACTCTGTTCATAAAATCTTCCCTCTTATGCCTTGTCTCCCTCAATTCCTATTCTTTCCTTTAATCTCCATTTTAAAAATCAGGAACTAAGTGCAAAGAGCTAAGTAACTTTCTTAGAGTCATTCATCTAGTAAGTGATACATCCAGACTAAGCATTACAAGTTCACAAAAATAAATCTGGTTTTGTTTGGTTTTTGGCAGAACTCAGGATTCAACTCACTTGCTAGGCAAGCACTTGTACTACTTGAGCCACAGCCTCAGTCTTTTTACTTTTAGTTTGTCTTTCAGATAGGGTCTTGTGCTAATTTAAGCCACCATAACTCTATCTGTGGCCCACAATAAATCTTTTGATTTCTGTTATTTAAGGAGGAACAAAGACCTCCTTGGCTTTTCATGCATCCATAGCACCCTTTACATGTCTTCATCATGATTCACTACAGTCTACTATAACTTTTCATTATCACTATATACATAGGATAACCCTTTCAAAATGGAGAAAGTCATTTTAAGTAGAGTTACATACAGTTGGGTTTGAGATGTTTTGTTATTTTTGAAACAATCTCAACTATGTACCTCACACTTGCCTGGATTATATTATGTTGCCCCGGATCGCCTTGAACTCACAGTCCTTCTTCCTCAGGTTCTAGAGTGCTAGAATTACAGGTGTATACCACCATGCCCAGCCACATATGGTTTTGTTGTTGTTGTTTTGCTGTACTGAGGTTTGAACTCAAGGCTTCCCACTCGCTAAGCAGGCACTCCACCATTTGAGCCATACTTCCAGCTCCATAAAATTTTAATCAGAGTGTGACTTAGAATCCTGCTACTTACTACTCTAAAGTTGATCATTGAAATAGGTATAGCCTAACTGTAAATGAAATAAAGTATTTTCAAAATACAGTATTAACAAGTTTTGTTTTGTTTTGTTTTTACCTCTCAGGGCATGTTTTAAGAAATTGCCTCGCATTCTCAGTTTCAATACTATGAGGTATACATTTAATATGGTCACGATGATGAAAGAGAAAGTGAATACACACTTTTCCTTCCCTTTACGTTTGGATATGACCCCCTATACAGAAGATTTTCTCATGGGAAAGAGTGACAGGAAAGAAGGTAATTTTCCATCTCCTTCTCTTATCTGTGTTTATTGTAAGTCATCGTTAATAAGGAAGCCATAAAGTTGTCATCATCTACACAGTTAACAATTGAATCTTAGAAAGGATTTTAAAGACAATGTGGCACACTCATTCAATTAGCAAGGAATTATTTAGTATATACTAGGAACATGTTCTAGGCATTCTTCTATACGTTGGAGACACAATGATAAACAAGATGACCATGTTTGTTGTCCTTGTGGAGCTTACACATAGATGGGTAAGTCTTATATCGAACATGAAGTGACAAGTGTGATGATGCTGCCATATAGGACGGTAAATATATCATGGTCAAGTCTTTTATGAGATGACATTTAAGCAGAAATATTGAGTAAGAGGTTGAGAAGAAGGGATGAGTTCTTGGGTGCAAGGGTTATGAAGTGTTGGTTAATGAGATAATGAAGCAGGCAATGGCTAGAACTTATATTTGTTTTAGGCCATGTTATTAATTTTGATCTTTATTCAGTGTGTAACCATAAGATTTTTAAGCAGAGAGCTAACATAAATAAGTGGGCATTTGGAAAAAGTTCTTCTCAAGTGGATTAAAAAAATGATGAAAGGTATGTGGGAAGGCCATTCTTATAAACCACCATGAAGATAATGGCTTACACAAGAAATAGTACCAACAGAGGTAGGAAGAAGGATATAAAGTTAATAAGACTTTGTGACTGAATGAATAAATGAATCCTCTAAAATTGAATAGCTATCCACTATGTAAGTTATGCTATTCCTTTAGTAGTGAGAATACAATAATATCAAAAACCCAAGGTCTCTGATACCCTGAAAATTACATTTTATTTGGTCTGGTACTAGAGGGAGCAAGAGTAGTCAAAAAAGGCTGGTTGCTAGCTTGAGTAGCTGGGCGAAGAAATAGTAGAGTCAGTATTTCAAGAAGGTCTCAAGAAAGGAGAGTGTGGTCATCAGTATTAAATACTGAAGTTCTACAACGGTAGGCTTAATAATAACAATTAGAAGGTCATTGATTATCTTTACCAGAGCAATTTCATTTTTGTGTGGCAGGGGGAAGGCGGATTAAAGATGGCTTTTGGTCCATAAGTAGCTAACCACCAAATTGTTACTTCCCTAAAACTAATGGTTTTCAGTCTTGCAAATGTGTCCCTCAAGGACCGTAGGGTTTAGAAAACGAAATTGGTGAGAGAAGAAAGTAGAAAGGATCTAGCTCTTGCTTCTTCCATTTTTCTTTAATAAGTTCCTTTTTATAGAAGGAATGTCCTGGCAATGTTTAAATTTTATTGATTTCAAGAAGCCATTATATTATGCTAACTTTAGGAAGAATCTCATTTTAATGTTTAATTCCAGTACCTAGTATTTAAATAAGTATCTAATAAGTGTTTTACCCTCACTAAATGGGAAATGAGGAGCTATAAAATATAATGACAAAAATTTGGAGGGTATTCTTTCAAGAGGACATACTGTTTCTTCAAAGAGAGAAGGATGCAGCGCAGCTGTGAAGGAGTGTGGAGTTAAGGGAGGGAATTTTAGTTAGCATTTGCACATCCTTACAACTTGGAGGAAATGGCTCTATAGAGATAAGTTTGAACATGCAGATAAAAAGTGGACATTATTTATATACTTTCTACTTTTTAGACCCCTTACCAAACCATTTGGAAAATTACAGTAGGACTTTCCAACAGCTGTGCTTCATTGTATTTTTCATGATGGTTTCATGCACAGAGGGAGAAGAAATTTATTCCTAAAATAATACAATTTGTTAGGTCACAAGTGATACATTCAGATCCTAGCACTGCCTGCATAACACATCCATACTCCTCAGCCCCTGCTTCAATACTGTCAGCCATTTTCTTCTCTTTACCTAATTGTAACTTCACTTAACAGTTTAGACTGTGCAGTCAAGCAAATCTGCTCTGTCTTGTTCCTTATTCTACTGTTTCCTTTCTGTGTGGTAGTAAAAATACAGATCATAAACTATACATCTTCTTCAAACTCAGTCAATCAATCTTTAATTTCTTCCTTAGTGTCTTTTGTTACCTTTTGATTTTGAATCTTTGGAGGTAGGAATTGGGTCTTTTGTTTATTTTGTTTCTATGTGCAAAATTCTACTGATACGTATTACCTAATGGGCATTTGGAACCATGCTACCAGTACAATGCTCCATTTTCCTTAACAGGCTAAAAGACAAAAATACACTAATTCCTTCTTAGATATTTCATTTGCCTGCTCATAGCAAAGATTAAATTGAAGCATTTGATAACTGTCTATTTCAAAAGGCCAGTGAGGTTATATGGATATTTCATATTTATATTTCAGTTTAGGGTTGTCCTTGGTAATGCACTAGCACTTGGTTGTTTTCCCAGTTATTTGTATATTATGTTCCTTAAAGTAATAGACTAGACTAGCAAATAATTGTGTTGTACCTATTTAACATGTAAAGTATTTATGACTGTTTTTGCACATAAAGTATAAGAAGTTATCCTAAGATGTACTATTAGTTAGTTTTCAGAATTATTGCCATTTATTTTATATAATCATTTCAGGCTTTAAGGAAGTCAATGATCATTCAAAAGAGACAGAAAGCTATGAGTATGACTTGATTGGAGTGACCGTCCACACAGGAACAGCAGATGGTGGACACTATTATAGTTTCATCAGAGACATAGTCAATCCTCATGCTTATAAAAACAACAAATGGTGAGTTTTAAATATTTTCTTTGGGTTTTTTAAAAAAAATTTTATCTAAGTATAAATTTATGGTGGCTTTCAAATATATTTTCAATTTTCTGAAAACAGTAAAATTAGGAGAAGAGAATTTTTAATTGAAGGTGACTTTCAAAAACAATATAAACCCATTCTTAAACTTACAGATTTCTGAACTTTTGAGAACTTAATGAATGCTTTCCTCGGAAAAATGAACCCACAGACTGTAGTACAGTTTTAGAAATTCATAGACAAAATTGCACCCCCAAATCTTGCTCATTCATTTCTTCATCCAGGAACTGTTTGCTGAATGCCTTCTATCAGGTGGTCACAAAGTCCTTTATATATGCCATTTAGAAGTTACATGCGTATATGCTTCATTGTATTCACCTTGCCTTTTTCCTCCTACACGCATTTTATTTCTTTTATCATCTTTTAAGTTAGCCAGTAATTGGAAATTATTAGCTCAGCCCTAGGAACTATTTTTGGTCTTTAGTTGCCCTTAGGAAGGGTCTCAAGTATAGGGACTCTATGTGTGTGAACAAAACGCAGTATTATTTCTGCATTTAGCAGAATACTTTGACTCAACTATTATTTCTCATTCCTTCAGCCATTATGTTCATGATGTCTTTTACTTTTCTTGTCCATCTGGATAAATTTCTATAAGTATAATTTGAATCTTTTCATAAATTTTAAATGGCATCTATATCTTTGAAGGTTCTAATGTCTCTTAATCTTTTCTATCTAATAGCTTTACATATTAAATTTAAGCAAAACTTGTTCCTTATTTTTGTTAATGTTATGGTGTAAATGGGGTCTTTTTTTTCTTTCTTTCTTTTGCCATACCAGGCAATGTCAATGTACACCATCACCAACCCAGATCTGTTAGATTTTAAGGTGGTTATGACTGTCACAAAATTATATTACCAATTTCTAACAGATTAGAGTTGTAAAGGCAAGAAGTTATAATTTACCTCATGAAATAATTTAACCAATATTTGTAACATATCAGTACATAATTAAATATTTTGAAAATAGTAGATACAGAGGTGTTTAGTACATACATACTTGATAAGTACTATATGATATGCTCTATTTTAGGTATCTTTTTAATGATGCTGAGGTAAAACCTTTTGATTCTGCTCAACTTGCCTCTGAATGTTTTGGTGGTGAGATGACGGTAAGTTTCATTCAGAAGTTGTATATGGTTTGTGACTTTCCAAGTATCATAAAATCCTGTTGCAGATTACAATTGCTATTAAAAATCTAAATTGTATTTATTTAATTTATATGCTTTGGAAGTTTAATGTATATAGTAGACAGTAGGAAATATTTAAAAATGACTAATTCTGCCTTCAGCCAAGTTCTGATAAAGAAAGTAAGACAAAAAAAAGTTAATTTATAAATTGAATTATAGTACCATGAGAATGATGATTGAACATATTGTTTACTCAATGAATTCTATAGGATTAGAGCAAAGAAGAGATTACCTTTTACTGATATAACCTGAAAAATCTTGCACAAGGAAGTTGGCCTGAGCTGGATTTTGAAGAATTATTTCTTTAGTGTTTTTTGTAAAATAGCAGCCATCTGGTTAAGGTAGAAAAAGAACATAATTTAAATAATTTATAACAGGACATTGAAAAAGACATTTTATTTTTCATAGGCAGTTTATCTTAGTACAGTAACAATTTCTTGAAAACTTTTTAAAAAAACACTATTGGTATGGGGATGTAGCTCATTGGTAGCATACTTCCCTAGTGGTTGGGTTTGATCCCCAGCACTGCAAAATAAAGAACACACAAATTAACAACAACAAAAAATCCTCTTGAGTCTGACATACCAAGTATTAGTAATTTCCATTTCATAGACGAACCCAGATAAAATAGTTTTTTAATTTAAAAACTATATTATGAATAAATGTAACTCTACATGTTATTCCTAGGACAGTCCTTTAAATTTTCATTTGTTTTTTTAAAGAAGAAAAAAATGAACAAGTCAGTTGCAAGACTCTTGCTCTCTCTCATTTGTTTTGTGGTACTGGGGGATTGAACCTGGCAGCTCATGCAGTCTGGGCAAGGGCTCTATTGCTTGAACTACATCCACAGCCCACAGGGCTCTTCTCTTAAATCTTCTCTTAAACTTAGTTTTTCAAATTGCAGGTCTTATTCTTTTCCAGAGTTTTGGTAAAATATCTTGAAACATGTTTTGAGTCTTTGTTTTCAAAAACTCGTTTCTTAGGATTATCATTACCTTGCCCATAATGCTGTTCGTCTGCTTTCCTTTTTAAAGTTTTTTGTCTTTGAAAGCCAGGACATACCTAGAGTTCTCAAAACTACCAGTAAAATCTTTGTTTCTGTCAGTTAGGATGTAGCTCTTAAGTTCTCAGAATCCCCACCACTGAACCCTTTATATTATGCCTTTACTTAAAAGAAACAACCTCCCTGTCTCATGGTGTGTACTCTCATATTGAAATCTCACCTTTCATTTCCCGTGTCTTCCCTGTGTCTTTTCTTGTTCCCTCTTTATTCTCCTTTGCCTTTTCACTTTTTTCACCATCATTTCTTTTTTGATGTGTGTGTTTGACTGATGGCTTTTTTCTCCAGTACTACTTTTCTTGTCACCCATCAGTTATATTACTTAACCTGAGTAGTGACAAATCTTACTCTTCTGCAAAAAGTTACTTCTAGCTCTAATGCTCAAATTTTTGTTTTTGAATGATTGGTGGAGGTATGTTGGATAGTATTGTGAGATCTCAAAATAAATTACAGCTTTTTGTTTATTTTAGTAATCTGCTTTTCTTATCTCTAATATTTCTGGAAATATAAAGTCAGTGTTTATTTCCACTTACCACATTTACAGAAGTGAGGCCCATATCAGCTACTTCCTTACCTCACCGTCTTTGTTTTCTTTTGTTACAATAACATTTTCTGTCTCAATTTTATAGTACTCAACATCTAAAATAAAATACCAACTATGATACCAGGATACACTAACAAAATTTGTGAAATACATATGATTTTTATGAATGATATGATGTTATTTGAAAACTATTTACAAAGTTACTTTGAGGTATTAAATATCTGTTTATGAAATAATTTTGCATATAAATAAAACAGTAAATCCATTTATAAAGAAGGAAATTTTTATTTTTAAACAGACGAAGACCTATGATTCTGTTACAGATAAGTTTATGGATTTCTCCTTTGAAAAGGTAATGATTTCTTTCATATATAAAAACTTTACATTAATTTCTTCCATATTGTCTAATTTTAGAATTATAGCTTTCAAAAGAAAAATATACTTTTTTTTTTCTTGCCTCCTAAAGACACATAGTGCATATATGCTGTTTTACAAACGCATGGAACCAGAAGAAGAAAATGGCAAAGAATACAAATTTGATGTTTCATCAGAGTTACTGGAGGTATAAGTTAATTTGACTTTAGCAATAGTTTAAAATATGTTATGTTTATGCAAAGAATACTATAAGAGCTGGTTATATAGCTCTTGGGATCTTTAATCCCAAGTAGATTTTAAGATCATCAAGTCTATGATTTGTGTTTATGCATCATCATGATTAATGCTGACATAAAATGGTTGATTGAGATTAAAAGGAGTGGGAAATAATTACTAGTGAAGAGAATTAAAAAGTTGAAAGTATTGATGAAATCAGGGTTAGCTCATAAGTAATTCATGTGGCTCATAAATGTTTTGTTTCTTAGATTGAATGATAGACTTGGAAATATTCCTTCTGTAATGCTTGATTATATACAAGTATATACAAGTGCATTTGAAATAACTTTGAGATGTATTTTCATTAAAGAGTAATTAAGTGGCTAGGCACAGTAGTTTACACGTGTAATCCCACCTACTTAGGAGGCAAAGAACGGAAAGATTATGGTTGGAGTCCATCCTGGGCAACAAGTTAACCCCCATCTCATCCAACAAGTTCGGTATCTTCGTGTGCACCTCTGATACCAGCTATGAGAGAGGCATAGTTCAAAGGATTGCAGTCTAAGGCCAGTTCCAGGGAAAAACTTGAGAACATATCTGATTGCGGATGTACCTCAAAATGTGAGGCCCTGAGTTCAAACCACAGTACCTTCATATAGATGGATGGATGGATGGATGGATGGATAGATAGATTGAGTGATCTATTTAAGTGCCAGGTGTATAGTACACACCTGTAGTCCCACCATATGGATAACTGAGGCAAGAGCAGGAGGTCTACAAGTTCAAGGATTGCTTGAGAGCTGGGAACATGGCTCAAGTGGTAGGATGCCTACTAGCTTTGAGGCCCTAAGTTCAAATTTCAGTAACTGGGAGAAAAAAAAAAAATTAAGATTGCTTGAGCCCACTTGTTGAAGGCCAGTCTGGGCAAATTAGCTGTCTTAAAAAAAAAAAATCAAATTCCCTAAGGACAGAGCTTGTTAACATGTTTTAGGAGTTATAAAATAACATGTGGCTGTGATGTTTAAAAGTAAGTTGAAAGAAGAGTGACCCAAGATGAGGTTGGTCAATTTAGGTAGAAAATAACTAGGGAAGGCCTGAAAATGGAGTGCAGTGGCCTTATTTTTAGATGTATATGCAGTTGGTTCTTACTGAGTTGTCTCAATAAAATACAAAAAGGATAAGCAAAAAGGTGAAGATGGTTCTGGAGCAGAGCTAAAAGCACTGTCTATGGTGGAATCCAAGAGTCTTACTAGGCCTTAGGTCCAGAAGCAGACAATGGTAACCGTAAGTGAGGCTTTCATGGGGTAAAGGAGATAAAAATTATAATACTGGATCTGGATAAAACTGAACTCAAGTGAGAAATTTATGATAGTGCTCTCTTGAGATGAGCAAAATAAAGTCACTCTCCTCAAGACTGTAGCTTTGTAGAAAGCTGGCATTAGGAAATACTTAAGCCTCTGAAGCAGGCCATTCAGTGACTAAGCCTGTGCTTTCCCAGATAGTGCCCTGGAGAAGTACCCCTATAAGACCTGGTTCAAGGCCACTCTAGTGGACTAGGAAGGCAGGGTAGAAGTAGTTGAAAAGAAAATCTTTAGTGGAGAATTTACAATGGTGTTGGGCGCTTCAGTTGAGAATGTATCTACCACCTTAAACTCCAAAGTATATAGAAGAGTAATGTTAAAAAGACTAACGTCAATAATGAGAACCGTACATCAGTGGTAAAGTGTGTGCTTAGCATGTGCAGGGCCATGGCACCAAATAATAACTCTATAGAACTGTCTGACAAAGGCCATTGGAATGTTTTGGGAAAGAAAGGAACACAGAAATAGCAGCATGATGCTACTGGCCTAATGTCAGAAATAATCATTTTTCATGATTTGTAGGGTGTACAAAGAAAACACCTCATTTAGATCTGCCAGTTAAATATTTTTTATTTTGTCAACATTTAAAACATAAACCCTTCTGTTATTACCTGATTTAATAAAGATGTAACAAGACTTATGTTTTCTTCATTTATACATTTGCTCTTCAGACAGACAAAATTTTAGGATTTTTAAAACCCCACAATCACTTGAGGTAGCCAGATAAATAATAATAAAAATAGAATAGCTTTAGTAACTATTTTATGTTCCTTATGTTTGGGGAAAAAACACCATTAATTTTCAGTGAATACATTTTTGTTGTTTTCATTCATAGTTTTTTAGAGCATATCTTTTGTCTTATAAAAATTTTGGTAAAATACAGTGAAGTAAACTCCTTTCTGACATCTAATGTTAACACTTTTTCTTCAGTGGATCTGGCATGATAATATGCAGTTTCTTCAAGACAAAAATATTTTTGAACACACATATTTTGGGTAAGTTAGGTAAATTTAGTAGATTTTTTTATTAATCTTTTAAAAAGTCTTCTGTAAGAATTATAAGTTATTCATTTTAAATTCTAGGTTTATGTGGCAGTTGTGTAGTTGTATTCCAAGTACATTGCCAGATCCTAAAGCAGTGTCCCTAATGACGGCAAAGGTAATATCAACTTAGATTAACTTTTTGAAATTTATTACTTTAAAATAATTGAATCTTTTTTGTTTAATTATATCTTTTCTTACAGTTAAGTACTTCCTTTGTCCTAGAGACATTTATTCATTCAAAAGAGAAGGTATGTATTTTGTACATTTTTATCATGTATGTTATTTATCAGTTCTTTGGTTTTTATTTTTAACTCAAAAGGTCCCTGGGCTATCTTGATTGACTTTTTTTCTATTCCTTTTTAGCCTACAATGCTTCAGTGGATTGAACTACTGACCAAGCAGTTTAATAATAGTCAAGCAGCTTGTGAGGTGAGATGAATAATTTAGCAGTGCATAGCTTAAGATTCTCTGTTTTAACATTTTTTTTCTTAACTTAGATAGTACAATAAAATTATTTTTATCTTTTAGAAATAATAGGTGGCCAAACATAAGTTGATTCTGATATCATTTGATGGCTGAATAAGTTACAGTTTATATATCAAATCTGTTACACAGATTACATAAAGTTATTTTTAAATCCTTGGGATTTCCCACTTCATGTTATACTAGAATAAAATACAGAAATTTAAAATTACTCTTCCAGGTGTTTTTTAAAAATTTGTTTTGATAGTGCTAGGGATTGATCCAGGGTCTCACATATTCTGGTCCAAGATATTTCTCAACTGTATTTTTTTTTGGTTTGGTTTGATTTTTTTTCCCCTTGAGCTTTATTGAGGGATAACTGACAAAAAATTTTATATGTATGTGTGTGTTTATTTATTTATATATGTACATATGTTACGTAAATATATATTTGAGGTATAGAATGATAATTATATACATTGTGAGATATTTACCACAAATTAATTAACAAGTCCATTAACATTTAGATATCACTGGTGTATATGTGTGAGTGAAGACGTAAGTCACAACTTAGTAGTTTGAAGAAAACAATACAGTATTAGTAACTATAAGTATGTGTAAAATTCCCAGAATTTATTCATCTTACAACTAAAACTCTGCATCCTTTGGACACCATCTCCCCATTTTCCCTCACCCTCTATAACTACTTTTGAATGATGTTAGAAAATACTATCTACACACACCCCTGCCCCAAAAAAAAAA